CTGGAATGTAGGGTTTGGATGGTTGCTGCTGCTTTCTGGTGGGGAAGGAAATGGGTCGGTTTTTTAACTAGGTATAGCGCATGTGTTGGATGCGCTATAATATAGCGCCCTGTATACATGCGTTATACCTTTCGCTCTTTTTGAGTTCAAATATAATGCGGTGAATAATCGCGCTATATATATAATAGTATATAATTTTTTTTAAAATCTATTTATGTCTTTTAAGTTAAAAAAAAACACACTTTGGTTCCGGAGTAGCCTGCCCAAGGACAAGCAAGTCCCGAAAAAAACTTTTAAAACACTTAAGAGGAGTAGATATTTCTTGATAGCTACAAATAAAGTGAACTGAGACCTCTGACAAAAGTAAATAAATAGAGTTATACTAACACCCACCCCACATATTGGAACACCTTTTAGTTACAAAGCAACGTCAAACAAAGGCAAGTAGAACTTCTTTTTCTCTTCTCTTTATTATACTAAAAGCAGCAGCCCCTAAGTCCTAACCTCTATATTTCTTCTCCACTTGCTCTCTTCTTACTCCAACCCCCCCTCTTTTCCCTTTTTTTTTAAAGCTTACTCAACCCCTTCACCAAAAAAAAAAAACCATCTTCTTGTTTTGTTACCAAACATACAAAGATGAGAATTTGATCTTCCATAAAACAGGCTTTGGAAAGAGTGAGAGAAAGACTGGTCTATTGATCAACCCCACCTCCCATATTTTTCTACCACCCCAAACCAAGCTGAATTTTCTCTTATTTATGTCTTCTTGATTAGCTGAGAGCAAATTCTTGAGAAAATATTTAACTGGGGTTTTGGAGTTCTTTTTTTGGAGCAAATTCTTGAGAAGAGGGATGAAAAAGCTAAGAAGTATGTTTGGGAGGGAGTGTTGGTGTTGGGACAATTACAATGACTCTGATGATTATTATCCAGTTGAACCTCACAATTTTTCTTTGCCTTCACCCCTTCCTAAATGGCCTCAAGGTATATCTGCTTCAAATGATTTTTGTATTTTTCTCAATTTTGTCATCTTATTTTTCTCTTTCATGAGAAGCTGTGTTTGTCAGTAGTCTCTCCGTTGACCTTTCTCTCTCTCCTCTCTCTTCTCTCTTTCACACACAGAAATAGTAGTAACTCGTTGCATTGTATCTTAAAAAATTTCAAGAAATGGTGGATATGATGATTGATCATTTATTTGAAAAAGAAAAAGGATGGTTCCTTTAACTTTAATTTAACTCAATTCTTGTAGAGTTCTTTATGTTCTTTCATTATTTTAGTTGAAGCAGAAGATCATGTGACTAATAGTATGTGTTTATTCTCATTTAATGATCAAATGGTTCAAGAAAATGAATTTATCACTTTTAACCAACAAAATTTCTGCTCCATGGAGCTCTAATCTTCTATTTCTTTCTCTTAATTCTGAGTTTGACTAATTGGGAAGAAGGTTCACTTTGAACAAAGAAAGTCTTTGTTCATCTCTGTTTAAGACTTGGTCAAACTATGGGAAACCGGGGTGGAGTAAGGAAGTTAGACCGAAATGAATGACTCAATTCCTCTAGAAGAAAGGAGAGAGAAAGAAGAATCAGTTCTATGAAAGAATATCTTATTTACTAGAATCGGTTGCTACTAGTCCGGGTTACCTCAGAGTGTACTAACTCAAACCTTGTTCTTGGACAAAATGTCCTGCTAACATAGGGGCACTCCTACTAAGAAATGGTAGAACATATGGTGTTTTATTCATGAACTTGGTCAAAGGTTTGGCTGGAATGGGAATAGTGACTACTTGGAAGTTCAAATCTGCACGCTGAAGAATTAGTTTTATGTTTTATTTTTCCTTCAAATTTTGGATTAAATTCTTGGTTTTGCTCCATTTTTTATTTTAGGACCTTGTTTTAGGAAACACTAATTATGTTTTCCTATGTTGTTTTCTAACAATTTGTTCCTTTTGAATGATGTTAGACAAAAAACTAGAGCTATTGCAGATAGGAAATCCAAGTAGTAATGGACTTATATAGGTGTGAATGAGCATTATTTGATTCAAGATTCTTGTTTGATCTTTGGTTCCTCTTTGCTTCAGCCGGCTCAGGGGATGGGGGTCGATTTCTTGTTCTTGTTTGCTTTTAATGGCAGCTGGTTCTTCATTTGTTTTGAAGAAAATCCTCTCTAATATGCATATTATAAATATTATTAAAAAAAAGACTCTTAGAAAGATAAAGAGAAGGGGATTCAATGAAGAAGCTTTATGCAGAAGTGCTGCAACAAATGCTCAGTTTGCTAATGTACAGGTGCTGTTTTTGTAGGCAAAGGTTTTGCTACAGGAAGAATATGCTTAGGTGAAATTGAAGTTGTTCAAATCACCAAGTTCAAGAAAATTTGGGGTTGCAGCCTATCATTTGGGAAATCAAATTGCTTCTCCTTTTATAAGCCGGATGAAATTCCACAAGGATTTTCAAGCCTCGGTCACTACTGTCAGCCAGATGGTGAGCACTTAACTGGCTATGTTCTTGCTGCCAAAGACTTATCTGTGAATCATAACCCAAAAGACAATGTCCAAGATTCATCTTCAAAGCTTCCTGCTCTTCAAAAACCTCTGAGCTACACCTTGATTTGGAGTTCAGACTCCCAATACAATGGAAGCAGTTATATTTGGTTGCCAAATGCACCAGTTGGTTATAAATCTATGGGATTTGTGGCATCTGTTGAGCCTAATGAACCTGATCCTGATGAAGTTAAATGTGTCCGTGCTGACCTGACGGCAAAATGTGAGGCGTGTGAGATGATGTTTAGTCCAGATTCCATTTTCCCGAGGGACCAATTTCAAGTTTGGAAAACAAGACCTTGCAAGAGGGGCATGCTGTGTAAAGGGGTTTCTGTTGGTACATTCTTCTGCAGTACAACCTTCAGTTCTGGAGATGAACTCGATAATATTGCGTGCTTGAAAAATCTCGACTCTTCCCTACATGCAATGCCCAATCTCGAGCAGATCCATGCGCTCATCAAGCACTATGGACCGACAGTTTATCTTCATCCAGATGAGATTTATTTGCCCTCCTCAGTCCCGTGGTTCTTCATTAATGGAGCTCTCCTCTACAAAGATGGGAGGAATAGCGGTATAGCCATCGACTCTAAAGGCTCAAACTTGCCTGCTGGTGGAGAAAACGATGGTGAATATTGGCTTGATTTGCCAAATAAGGATGATGCAAATCGAACCAATGTCAAATGTGGGAACATTGAGAGTGCAGAGCTCTATGTTCATGTTAAACCAGCTTTAGGAGGAACCTTCACGGATATTGCAATGTGGATATTCTGCCCTTTCAATGGACCGGCTACCCTTAAGATTGGGTTGTTGAGTTTTGCTTTGAATAAAGTAGGAGAGCATGTTGGTGATTGGGAGCATTATACACTCCGTATCAGCAACTTTTCTGGTGAGCTCTCGAGTGTGTATTTCTCGGAGCATAGTGGTGGTGAATGGCTAGACGCCTGCAACTTGGAGTTCATCGAGGGAAACAAGTCAGTTGTATATGCATCAAGAAATGGCCACGCAAGTTTCCCACATCCCGGCTGCTATCTTCAGGGCTCTACTAAACTCGGTGTTGGAGTGAGGAACGATTGTGCCCGTAGCAAATACCATGTAGACTCTAGTAGCAAGTATCAAATTATTGCTGCTGAGTACCTTGGAGAGGGAGTTGTTTCAGAACCACCATGGTTGCAATATATGAGGGAATGGGGTCCAACCATCATATACGATGGGCGATCAGAAGTGGAAAAAATAATCAAGCATCTTCCCTTTTTTATGAGATTTTCAGTGGAGAGTCTCATTGAGTTATTTCCAACTGAACTATATGGTGAAGCAGGGCCAACAGGACCAAAGGAAAAGGACAATTGGCTGGGGGATGAGAGATGGTAGTGGGTAGGCAATGTGTTTGTGCTCCTATTACTGAATTGGTCCAATACCCCACCATTTTTTGCATACATTGGATTGCGAGAAAGCTGCTAGTAGTAGCTATACTGGGGGTTAATGAAAATCCCAGCTTAGGGGTATCCATTGTATCTATATTGATGGATTATCCAATTCTATGTAAATTGTAACAGCAATCATACATTTGCATGGTTAATGTGATTTTCACAGTAATCAAATTCAAGATCTACAAACTAATTAAGACCCATCTTCAAGTTGTTGCGCAAGATTTATTCAGCATAAATCAGCAGCACACTGAAGGCTGAAATTAGAACAAGAAGTTTCCCTTTCTATAGAATAGAAAACATGCACAACTAAACAGACATGCTCTGTTCTGGATATACTTAAAAGAACATAAAGGCAACGAGAATCCAGCAGTAACTTAGAATAAAATGACATTAATAGGCATCACATTATCACATCCTGTAATTGCATTCAACTGTTTAAAGCTGCAAGTGGTAGCAGAAAAAGAGGGTTTTTCTTCTTTGCAAAACAAGAAGCTCTACAACAAGTTTGGACAAAAGAGACATTTCTCCTCTCTGTAATCAAAATACAATTGATGACAACATTTTAACTTTACAAAAGGCAAATCTTCTACTACCCTATCCAAAAAGGAGTATTGTTTATCCAACTATGGCTGAAACATGAAACAGAATGCTATTCACCCCTAAAACTTATATTGAATTGCAACAAAAGTTGGAAACAAAAAGAAGATAATTAGTATAAATACATAGACAGCATCACTTTGCTGATCTGCCATCCCTGTTGTTAAGGCCCTCCCAACTTATCTCCTGAGCACATTCCCCACAAACAGTGCTACAACCCCATTTGGTTCCTTGACTTCTAAGTGTAAGCAAATGTGACAAGTTTGTGCACTTCCTTGGTACCAAACGGCATCTTGAACTCCCCATTGAAAATACAAGATTACTGTCCTCTGGCGGCAAAAGGGTGGCGGTGGAAACCACTGGCTTTTGCTTTGGCAATGATTCAGAAGTAGAGACATGCTGACGCTCAGCTACGGGTTCATCAGGAGAAATTCGCCTCTCTTCCCATTCAATAGATCTCCGGTACACTTCCCACGCCATTTCCTGCTCTTCTTTTGATAGCTTTTCGTCCTCGTTCTCTTGCAAGAGACTCTCGTGCAAATGATAATTTGCAATCCAACTGAAGAAACGAGTAACCTATTAAACATTCTTCTTTTATTAATGAAGTAAGTGATGACTTATCGACTAAAATGGGTTGCCCCAGTAAAATAAGTACACCTAGAAAGAAAATCAAAAGCTTGAATGCTTCGCTGCAAAAGACCATCCCGACAAATATACAAGTACAGACAGCTGTCTTGATGTCTTTTAACCCATTAGACATTGTAGGTTATGGTTTTAGCTCACAACCACTGCATTAATAAAAAAGAGAACACCTAAAGAAAGTAAAAACAGAAAAGAGGAGAAGCAGCAGCTCATCATATAACCCTAAGTCAAAAATATGGGTCATTCTAGAGAGAGCTAACACTTGTATTAAAGGTGGGGTATACTTGGTTCTGGAGGAAACATATACAGTCAACATGTCAGCTCAGTAGTGAAAGAGCATTTGCTCAAAAACTCTAGTGCATTATGAGCTCGACATATGAGAGAACCAAAGGTGCTCGGTAAAATTCATCGTTTCTTTTTTCATAGGTTAAGCAGGGGCATTAGTGCCTGGATTTAGTTACATATAATTTTTAGCCGGACCGCTGTACTAATATTAAGGTCCAATGGGGCCTATCAAATACTAAAATAGGAACAAAGTGACCCCAGTCGGCCAAGAAATCAGCTGACCTATGTTTTTTCCACTTTTGAAAGATGGATATCATGACAAGGTAGGTCAAGTCAGATCAAGAGGACCTGGAAATTTAAGCTAGATTACCACACATTCAGTTGCATCACAAAAATGGGCACTTCAAAATAAATTAATAGAGAAGTTAGACCTACAGACCATTTATTCCCTTTGCCTCAAGCTCCAGGTGCAAATAAGTAATCCAATAGAGGAATAAAGTTGCAGTTGAAGTTTTGTCAACCCTAAATGAGATATCTTCTATACCCTCAATTCTCTTTCTAAAATATTCTCGGTTTCATCTTAGCCAAAAAGTCGAGAAAAGTTTACCCTCTTTCCAAAAGATCCGTACATGGTTCTTTCCAAATAAAAAGAATCCAGATGAGTCTTGGATGAAAGGCCATCTGATAGAGTTGAATAAACAGTTTAGCAATTAATTTATGTCAGTTGCATTATGTAGCTTTTAGGGAATCTCAACTCATATTGGATCCAAAAAGAGGAAGACAGTCAATTATTTTTATGGTTTGCCTGTCCGTCCGACAAGCACAATTTCTAAGATGATTAACAGTCAGTTTACCTAAAAATCCAATATATCAATTCCAGCTATCGGATGTCATAAAAATGAGCCAGTAAAACTTGTATTTCTATTTTTTGCATAAAATCAATCTAACAAGGAAAAAAATTTGTTTTGGAAACCAGAATTCACAATAAAGATAGTTAACTTAAAATACTTACAAAGCTCATTAAATACAATAACATTTCAACAAAATGAGCATGAAGATGCACATCTAAATTTATGTAATTCTATCCAGTACTTAAAAATCTAAAACTAAACAAGAGTAGAAAAGGGAAATATTATTTATTGGATGACAAATAAAGTCAGTTTTTACAAGTTCGAGGTACTTGCACATTCAAAAGTGATGAACGGTCCTATTCTCTCACTCCAGCTGATGAATTGTCATGTGCTTTTATTCCTGTTTCAGCTGGTGCAAGGCTGAAATCAGACAACACCCGAGTTGATTCCAGAAACTACCGGTCTCTTTCAACGTTGATATATCAACAAGTTGATTTTATGAACAATGCGATAAAGGAGAACTATGAAGAACTTCCAGGCACCCAGTTTCTCTAAGCAATAAGTTTGTTGATATGGATAGGATTATGCATAAAAAGGAAAAAAGAAAATAGGAAAGGGGTACTTACTTAAACTGAACTAGACAAATAAAAACAAATTGGGCCTTTCTAATTAAAGTTAATCAGTCGCCCTCAGAGGTTTTGGATATTTTCTCCCAAGTCTAAGGAAAACAGACTATTATACTATTAATCAGAAAGGTAAAAAAATAAAAGTGAAATTTATTAGAAGGAAAAAAAAAGACACAGAAAACGACAAAATATATGTTCCGAAGAAATTGTTAATATGACAAAGCAAGAAAAGAACGTCATACCGTGGATGATGGCTGTCAATCAAACTTTGCATTAGCTTGTCAGAAGTAGAGCTTCCATTTGGAAAGGTTAACTTTTGTTTCGAAACACTTCCAACATCTACAGTTGTGTTTGCTTCACCAGCATGTTCTCTTGCTTGCTTCAACTCCAGAGGTATATCAGAGCTTTCATCATCTCCGAATTCAAAAAGATGCAACATTTCCTCTTTGGATATAGTTCTATGTACTTGTTGTCTGTCGACCACCCGTGCTGCAAGACCTTCCTTTGTTACCTGCTTAAATTATCCACTTAAATAATTCATGAAATAAAAGCTATTCTGACATGAGCTCTTCTTGGATTCTTATTTTTTACCTGACGCTTGTATATCTTCTCCTCCATCGTTCCATGTGCCAGTAAACGATAAGCAAAAACAGGTTTTGTTTGACCATACCTAAAATGTACAAGCATTCTGGCTAAATATATATTCCAATGAAACCTGGGTGTTTTATTACACACAAATTTGAAAGACATACCTCCAAGCTCGATATATAGCTTGAAGATCATGAGTTGGATTCCAAGAGCCATCAACTATAATTACACGGTTAGCAGCATAAAGGTTGATACCCAGAGATCCAGCTCTAGTAGATATTAAAACGCATTTAACCCTTCTATTTAATGGGTCGTTAAAACTATCAACAAGTCTCTGCCTTTCAGATGATTCTGTTCTTCCATCAATCCTGTTGTCCAAAAGGAGGTGAAAATTTTTGTTCAGTGACACGTAAAAGCAAGAAATAGAAGACAAACCACATCCTCAAAAAAAAGTTAAGCAAAATAACATTCACCACTAGCATCCCATTATCATAACCTTCTCCATCTATCCCAAAAAGATAGTAATATCTGGCTTCCTGGTTGTCAAACCGGACGAACTTTGACTAGTAGTTGACAAAAATATTGCATAATAAAAAAATTTATGTTTTAAAACTACAAGATTTCTAAATCAATGGGTTACTTTTGTTCCAAAGAAGACATCTGTGAAGAAAGAGGAAACGTTGGCAATTCTAGTTCAGATGGAATTCGAGGATAAATTAAATAAGGCAAAACTTCCTTTGAAATAAACCTACTTATTATTTAATTGATGTCCAGTTTACCAAATTAACTTTGATATTCTGTTTTTCATAATCAAAAGGAAGAGACCCCCCCCCAAAAAAAAAAAAGAGCTCCAGTGCAAAAGCTCTTTCTCTATTCTAACAATGAGATATAAATGAATAAGAAAAGCCAAACTAATTAGTAAGACTAAAAAGAAGACTGTCTGCTTCTTTGAGCCTTCGCTTGGATAGCTAGTAGTTATGAGCTGCAGTCCCCAGACTATAGATAAAAGATGTAAAGGTATACGAGCCATCAATGGGCTTGTTTACTTTCTTTCTCATGTCAACTGAGGAAAGGTTCCTCTTTGCTTTGATTAGATGGTCAGTAATCTTATCACTCTAAAGAATAAGCCAATTTTCCTTGAAGACAAACTCGGACAATCAAGTTCTCAAGGATTGTATTTCTCAAATGATATTGTAACGAATTCGCAAGAAATGCAACAATAAAAGGATGGGTTCCACATCAACGCTATTAGACGATATTACTAAGCAAATAAAATTATGCACCCTTTACTAGGTTAAGCTTTTAAATGAGATGGTTACACTTTAGCATGGTATTAGAGTAAGCAGAAGCTATGTTACTCGGACTCTTCAAAAATGTTGTTGGGTGCGTGTCGGATCCTCCAAATTTAGTGCATTTTTGGAGGATCCGACACGGGTGCGGCAGCACTTTTGGAGAGTCCGAGCAACATAGAGCAGAAGTCCTTTTCTTGATCTTGGACAATCCTCACCTCATCAACTAACTTTCGAGGTTGAGCTAGGACAAAGGTTCATTTTCTTTACATGATATCAATGGGTAACCATCCCTGTTATTGTATTTTCCCATGTTCGGCCCCATGTTATATTATCCATGCTCTAGTTGACATGCTTGAGCATACAGTATGGTGTTAGAATTTCCGAGATTAGTCGAGGGAGTGGATTGTTTTCTCCTTATATGGTCTTGGGTAATCCGCACCTTATAAGATGGCTTTTGAAGTTGAGTCACGCTCAAGAACCATTTTCTTAACATGGTATCAAAATAGGAAAAGGTCATGTGTTCGAGTTATACCCCACCCATTTTCATAGAGAATTTTCACATGCTAGGCCCATGAAAGAAAAAAATCAAGCCCGTACGTGAAGGGGCGTGTTGAGAACATAATTAAGTAAATAAAAGTATGCTCTCTTTAATAGCTTAAACTTTTAGATGAGATGATCACATACTCCAACATGGTACTAGAGCAAGCAGAGGTCCAGGATCCAAATCTCACCGCTACCCTTCACCAAAAAACAATTCACTTGCTTGGCCCATCAAAAAGATCAGGCCCGCACATGAGATGGCGTGTTAAATATATAATTAAGTAAATAAAAGTATGTTATATCTAAAAGCTTAAACTTTTGATAAGATGGTCACACAGTTCAACAAATGGCAAAGAGAATCAGTAAAATCAAGTACTGAAGAGGAAATGCAATTTATGTCCAAATGCTGTATGATTGCTGCACAAGTTTCTCAAGAGTTTCAGGTTTGACAGCAAATGTAAACAAGAGCTCTATCTACTTTAGTGGAGTGAGTCACGGGGTACAACAGGAGATTCTGAATTTCTTGGGCTTTTCTAGAGGTCAACTCCCTTTCAAGTACCCGGGAGTGCCACTGAGTTCCGAGAGGATTTCTATTACGCAGTGCCAACCACAATTGGAGAAGATGTTGGGTAGAATCAATTCTTGGACTTCAAGATATATTTCATATAAAGGCAGATTGCAATTGATCAAAACTGTGCTGTTTGATATCCAGATATATTGGTCTCGGATATTTGTATTGCCTAAGAAGATAATAAAAAGGATAGAGACTATATGCAGAACTTATCTATGGACAGGAGGGATTGATAGTCCAAAGAAGACTTTGTTGGCATGGGAGAAAGTCTGCTATCAAAGGACATATGGTGGTTTTAATGTGCTTAGACTTGTATACATGGAATAGGGCAGCTATTTGCAAGCTATTGTGGAACCTCTGCAGAAAGACAGTGGGTCCAGTGGTTACATGAGTATTATGGGAGGAAGCAGCCAGTGTGGGAAACTAATCCAAAACAAGCATACTGTGTAAACCAGAAAATTATAAGGCAAGAATGTCAAGGGCCCAAATCCTTACATTGGGTAGCGGCACCTGCTCGCCCGTGCGGCGCCTGCAGGTTCCCCTCGCTGCAGGCCAGCCTGTCTCCTTTCCCAAGATCCCCAAGCACGATCANTTCTATACGACTCGGTGACAGCACGTATGGGGGAGGCAGGCCGGAGCTTTCATCACCTATACCCCCTTATATATGCTTAAAATTAAAAAGCCCAAGTTGCCCGAGTAGACAGTTCTACGTCAGACCATCAGAAGGACCTTTTCTCACCAGTTCTTAGCCGAAATCACAACTCCAAAATGCGAGTTGTGACAAGAAGCTACATTGAGGGAGCAGGTATATCAATGGCTACTCTACAAAGCTGGGAGTCCTTTTCCATTAAGAAGTTATATCAGATAATGAGAGGTTACTTTCAGAAAGTAACTTGGAAGAAGCTCACTTGCAACAACCTTGGCCTACCAAAGTGGAGATTTGTACTGACCCTAGCAATCCAAAACAGATTACTTACTAAGGACAGATTGGCTACCTGGGGGGTCACATATGAAAGAACATGCCCTATGTGTAATGTTGAAGAATCTATGAATCACCTGTTCTTTAGTTGTGAAGTTTTTCTGCTCGAGCATGGTGTAAAATATTGGAATGGCAAAGCATAGTCAGACAGGCCATGAACTGGCAGAACGAGATTCAGTGGGCACAAGTGAATGTGAAAGGAAATGCTGCAAGTACTGAGATATATAGAATGGCTCTAACGGGTTGCACATATCACTTGTGGCAAGAGAGGAACATGAGACATTCCAAGGGAAGAATAGGTTAACTGAGGTACTTACAAGGCAGATCATTCAGGAAGTAGTGTGTAGGGGATCCATGAAAATTAAGTTAGCTAGGAAGATTGAGGCTCTTAACTTCTATCCTTAGTCAATGCTAGTAAGATGAGGTAGAGTAGATAGGGAAGTGGAGATTGGGGCTATATCCAGTCTCAGTTTGTTTCCTTTTTCTGTGAGCTTGTACATATTGCTATTTGGTAGATAAAATATTTACTTACCAAAAAAATAATAATGAGGTAATTTCCATCAAGAGGGAAAACAAGGTATACACACCTGTACCAGTCTTTCCGTCGCTTCCAGTACTTCCCCTTTTTCCCTGGGCGCGATAGTTTTGAAAGATATAGTTCAATGAGATCCAAAGTTAACAAGCTCTGACTAAACACAAGTGCTTTGTCACCAACATTGGAGCTCATTGTCAGGATGTCGAGTAGCAGAACCATTTTGCCGCTATAATCAACTTCTTTGCAATTATTTTCTAGAAGATCGCTCCACCAATCCTGTAAAATGAAAGAGTGAACTAAGATATTAATGATGACATTTAGAAAAACTAATAGAACTGTAGAAACAAATGGAACCACACATATACCTTGAATTGTAAGATACAAAACAAAACGTATATTACAGACAGATGGCAAGAGTTTCCTGCACATCCATCAATTAACCATACTAACAGAATTACAGAAATTAGCAAATAGGAAGCAGGAAATTACCCCATGAAGGAAGCCATTATGATTTTTCCTGAGAGCTTCACTGTTGCTATTCAGCTTCTCTGCAAGAATTGGCAGACAGCTATTCATATGTGATGAAAGAGAGGCTAGTTTTCATTTTAATAAAATATTAATGAAGTGCTTAATACGACCGGATGTCATCTATTATCCTGAACTCATTGAAAGCAGGCCACAGAAACAAATACAGAAGCCAGATATTCCTCCCAGTATCAGAACAGGAGCAGGTGAAATATTTTCGGAACTTTTAGTCAATTGCAGACACTGTATGCAAATTCAACATATAATGCAGAACGGCCAATTGATCTACTGAATCAACACTATCACAGTATGCATTAATATGCAATTTACTTTTATCAGAAACACATCCAACTGCACGATAGCTCAATTCAAAGATTCCTCTGGATGCCTAGATAGCTGCATATCAAAATACTATTGGCTCCACATAAAAGAGATCCTTTTATTTTGTAACTACCGAAAGATAAAACATCAATAGTTGGTACATTCTATCCAGAGTGAGGGAAAACAAAAGGTACCTCCAGGAACAGTATTATAATCTGTGTTCTCATCACTTGAGCAATCATCAGCAAGAAAATTCTCAACAGCATCCTCAGGCTTACTACAGGCTCTGTTTTCTCGCATCAGTTGCAAAATCCCAGGATGGTTCCATATCTATATTCAGTAACTTCTTATTAGTCGACAGAATCAAAGAGAGGAGTTACGCATTAGATACATATCCAGGGTCCTAGCCCACACATCCCACCAACAAACACACACATACATCTATCTATTTATCTGTGTCTGTGCGCGCACATATAACTAAACCTATAAATGTATATACATATATAGAAGAGCCACTGCCGCTAAGTAACCAAAAACACCAAAAAGTTCAATTTTCCAACAAACTCTGTATTGTTTATTTTACAAAATGATGGATGTTCATCATCAAGGCTTCCAATATGATGGATGTTTATCATCGAGGCTTCCCATTAACAGAAACAGAGTAGAAAAAGAAATTTCTATTTATTTCCTTTTCTTTTTTGATAAAGAACTTAACAAAGAAAACGAACAAGAAAACATGATGACCGCTGCTAAAAACCAACAACAACAACAAACCCAGAGCAATCCCACACGTGGGGTCTGGGGAGGGTAGTGTGTACGCAGACCTTACCCTTACCTTATGAAGGAAAGAGGCTGTTTCCGATAGACCCTCGGCTCAAGAACAGGGAAAAGGACACAATAAACAAACATTAACAATGGTAAGGAAATAAGATAAAAGAAACAAATAGCACAGCATGTAATAGCAGAGAAACTAGGAATACGAAGCTATAAGAGAGGTGCGAAAACTACCGGCACTAATGCCACATCGTCTAATCAGCAAGGAACTCGGAATAGGAGAATACAAGACTAGTACTAATACGACTAGCGACTCTCGACTACCTATCAATCCATAACCCTAATTCTCGACCTCCACACCTCCCTATCGAGGGTCATGTCCTCGGTAAGCTGAAATAGAGCCATGTCCTGCCTAATCACCTCTCCTCGGTACTTTCTAGGCCTCCCTCTACCTCTCCTATGACCCGCTATGGTCAACCTCTCGCATCTCCTCACCGGGGCATCGATTTCTCTCCTCTTCACATGCCTGAACCATCTCAGCCTCGATTCCCGCAACTTGTCTTCCACATGAGCCACACCCACCTTGTCCCTAATAACTTCATTCCTAATCCGGTCCTTCCTGGTATGCCATACATCCATCTCAACATCCTAATCTCTGTTACTTTCATCTTCTGCACATGAGATTTCTTGACTGGCAACACTCAGCTCCATACAACATAGTCGGCCTAACTACCACTTTGTAGAACTTGCCCTTAAGTCTTGGTGGCACATTCCTATCACACAAAACACCACACGCAAGCCTCCATTTCATCCACCCCGCTCCAACACGATGCGTAACATCCTCGTCAATCTCCTCGTTCCCCTGAATAACAGACACAAGATATTTGAAACTATCTCTCTTGGGGATGACTTGTGTATCAAGCGCCACCTCCACTTCTGTTTCCTGCGTACTGAACTTGCACTCCAAGTATTCAGTTTTTGTCCTACTCAACTTGAAACTTTTAGACTCCAGGGTCTGCCTCCACAGTTCCAGCCGATCGTTAACCCCGCAACACGTCTCATCGATTAGCACTATGTCATCTGCAAATAACATACACCATGGCACGTCCCCCTGAATGTGGCGCGTCAGCACATCCATCGCCCGGGCAAATAAAAATGAGCTAAGAGCTGAACCCTGATGTAACCTCATCATCACAGGAAAATAGTCCGAGTCTCCTCCCACAGTCCTCACCCGAGTCTTCGATCCATCGTACATATCCTTAATCATCCTAATGTACGCTAACAGAACACCACTAACCTCCAGACATCTACATAAAACCTCTCTTGGGACTTTATCGTAAACTTTTTTTAAATCGATGAACACCATATGCAGGTCCCTCTTCCTCTCCCGATACTGCTCCGCTTACCTCCTCACAAGATGAATGGCTTCTATGGTCGAACGCCCCGAAATAGACACACTCCTCCTCACCCTCCTCTCCACCACCCCCTCCCACACTTTCATAGTGTGACTCAGTAGCTTGATACCCCTGTAGTTGTTACAATTTTGGATATCACCCTTGTTCTTGTACAGCTGGACCATCAAACTCCACCTACCTTCCTCGGGCATCTTCTTAGTCCTAAAAGTCCAATAAGCAACTCCAAGCCTACCCGTTCCACAACCTTCTTCCAAAATTCTACCGAAATCTCGCCTGGCCTAGTCGCCCCGCCTTTACTCATCTTCCGCATTACCTCATCAACCTCCCCAACCTTAATACGCCTACAAAACCTAAAATAACGTCGATTCTCTGAGTTTTCCAACTCGCCAAGAACCACTGCTAAAAAACAACAATCAATAAACTACAGCTCAATCCCAAAATAGTTAAAGTTGGCTATATTAATCCTAGGTATTCCTCCGCTTTATCCTGGTCCAACTACATGCTCAGGTTTCAGAGAATTCACCATGGTTAACCTACTTTCATGTTGGTTGTATATTTATTACAAGAAACAAAGAGAAGAAAAAGAAACTTCTATTATTTCTTTTTTGATAAATAAGAAATTCTATTTACAAAGAGTGTTGAAAACATAATAGAGTAAATAAAAGTGTGCTCTCTCTGACAGCTTAAGCTTTTAGATGAGATGGTCACAAACTTCAACAAGATTCAGAGCAAACCCATCCATGTTATTGCGTGTCACATGTTGGGCCTCCATGTTATGTTGTCTATGCTCCAATTGGAAGGCCTAACCATGCCGCAGTGTTAAATGTCCCATATTGGTTGGAGATAGGTTGTTTGCCTCCTAATATGGTCTTTGGGCAATCCTCACCTAAGTTGCTCGAACTCGGGTGCGGGTGTTCAATACGGGGGTGCGTGATCTAAATTTAAAGATTCGGGGGTACGGATACGGGTGCGGGGATTCGGCTAAAAATAATTCAATTATTTAAAAATAGTGTTATAAAAATATGTCTAAATTATGAGACATTATGTGAAAAACTTACAAGGTATTCCGAGAAGGGAAAAATATTGAACAAGAGTAGAATTTTAGAAGATAAAAGGAAAAGGACTGACATAGAAATTTATATATACAAGGTATTCCATTTTCTTCCATATCACCCTATCTTTTGATTTGTTTTCAAAAATAATTACATCTGTCCCAAATTTCTCCGTTGATTTTGGTCAAAGTACCCAAAATAGGTTGACCAGATCCGACACGAATCCCATACCCACACCCACGTCGTGTCGACACGGGTGCGGCACTGAAAGTGAAGAGTCCGAGCAACTTAGAGCCTCACCTCATAAGCTAACTTTTGGGGTTGAGTTAGGCTCAATTCCATTTCGTAACATAGTATTAGAGTAAGAAGAGGTTCTAGTTTCGAGTCTTACTACCACCCATTATCAAAAATGGTTTTCATTCGCTTGACTCATCAAAAAGAATCAAGCCGGCAATGAAGGGGCATATTAAAGATACAATTAAGTAAATAAAAGTATACTTGATGCAAAAGCTACAACAAAAAGAAATGAAGCTAAAAAGCAACAATCAATCAACTACTCCTCAATCCCCAAATAGTTGCGATTGGCCATATAAATCCTAGGAAATCCTCTGCTATATCCAGGTCCAACCGCTTACTCAAATTTTAGAGAATTCATCAAGATTAAATAGGTTTCACGCTAACCTTCAACTTACCACAACTATCCAGTTATCCTAGCTGCGACCAGCTATACTTTTGGAAGCTTACATAGAGACAATTGTTAACAAAACAAAAAAAAATTAGGAAAACAAATAAGACAAATAAAGCCCTTCAGCTAATAGCAGGTCATGAAAAACACACTTGGCTCCTTGGCAGCCAAGAATGTCATTCAGTTCCCAACACAATCAGTATATAGCTAATTTCCATTTTTATATACTACAGATAAAAGTGCATTTTGTTTTTTTTCTTTTTAATTTTTGCACATATGGTGGTATAATTTCTTTCTTCGCAGTACAGATCTCTTTAAGTGAGTATAAAAAGATAGCAAACAAAACAGACAAAACAACAATAAAATAGCTCAACAAAACACTGGAAGCATGATGCTCAACTTCAAAAATACAGCAAAGCTAAAAGGAACTCCAGAAGAACAAGGTACTCTGCACTTTTGCAAGTTTTACTCTTAAAAATTCCATTACTTAGTGACTGAAAAGTTAAGTAGGACTCTTTAAAAGTAAGGGTGTGTAATTATGTGATAAGAAAATGGACTTTAGGCCTAACTCAACCGTAAAAGCTAGCTCATGAAGTAAGGAAACCCAAGGCTGTTAGCTGGAGCATGGACAATATAATATGAGGGCATAACATCGGGTAAACCAAGAATTGGGATGGGTAGGCTTGCCCAAAAATTAGAGCATTCCCGGCGCATAGGGCGTGTGGAAGCTCAGATGAGGTTGGGCTTTCTGGGGTCTCATCGCCGGGAAATTCCCATCTCCTCAGTGGTGTTGGTTGATGCACAACTATAATCGAAAGTGATGCAATGACAATAGCCGGAGAATATGACACTATATGATGTTTTTCTTCAATCTTGATGTCACTGGTAGACGCACTGTGGCTAATATCTCATAAGGGCTCTGATACCATAATAAGAAAATGGACCTTGGACCTAACTCAACCCCAAAGGCTAGCTCACGAGGTGAGAATTGCCTAAGGCCACTAAAGACGACCATGTCCCCCATCCAATAGAGATATGGATATTTAACATTAATACTATAGAAAGGAATCAACACTTCTAAAAAAAAGGGCAGCGAAATTCAAGAAACAAAAATAATGATAGTGAAATTATATATTGGAAAGTGAGTGGGCGAATTTGATGAAGATCGAATTTAAATACAATTTAAGGAAGAATAAATCAACTGAAATTGAACAAGAGCCTTGCGAGAGATGATAAACACAATCTACGAAGTTCCAAATGGTTAAAAGTAAAATTGAAATAGTAAATCAATACAACAAAGAAATCTAGCATTACACTCATAGAAAATAACCTCAGAACCCAAATGGCATAGAACATAAGGAAGCTACAAGTATACACACATTAGTTATAAACACCCAAACATCACAAGCATACACCGCGCTTGCATGGAGAATTACTAGATTTTGTAAGAAATCTACACCGTTGAGTTATCTATTGGTATGTCTTTACCAGGTTAGTGCGGGGTAGTTAACTTTAAAATCTAAGCACCTTTAACAAGGCCTTCTTAGGGAAGTAGCTTTGGAGATTTGACCAGAGGAGCATGTAATGGAGAAATATGGCACCATAGAAGGGGACGGAGAACCAAGAAAATCATTGCTCCTATTGGATGCAGCAACCAAAGAATATTACGAAGTGACAAGAAGAGTTTAGTAGAAGTATCTCATTTATGGTGGGGCACGGGGGAAAGGTTAGTTTCATGGGAGGAGAGATCGTGTGGCGACAAAGTGTTGAAGGTCACTTTCCCGAACACCTATAAAGGATATTATCGTCCAATAAGTTCAGAGATTACTAGTAGAGAGTCGAGATTCCTGGAGATGGGAGTTACAGCAAAGAGTTACATATGAAAGTTGCTAGCTATAGAGAAGTTTATTTTTCCTTGTTTGTCGGTAGGTATTGATACCTAGAGCGGCAACGAAGGTGTGCCTTTTTTCTGGGTTGGAGGCTAAGGTTGCAACTCTAAAAACAGAGAACTTGAGAAAGAGGAGAATCATATATGTTAGCTGGTGCTTCATGGGAGTACGAGGATCATCTCTTACTGCATTTCCAGGTAACGTCGCCCCTATCATAGGAGCTTTTATGATGGTTTGAATACAATGGACCATGACAAGTTAGAGGATGAGGTGAACACGTCGATTGTGGGTATGTTACTCCAGTAACACTTATGTTGGTAGCATGGCAAGAGAGGATTTGGAGAGTTTCTGAAGGGAATGAGCTTAATTTGCACATCTAAGGTATAGCCTCTTGTTTTCATTGTATTTTTGGTGCATCCATAAGGTTCCCATTTGTATAGAAGATTGGATGTCTTTTGCAGAGAATCTTACCTTGCTATAGATTCTCTACTTTTGGTAAACCTCTTGTATACAGGAGCATTCTCACAATGAATATAATTCACTTCATTAAAAAAGGTACTCCCTCCGTTTCAATTTAGATAAGGTAGTTTGACTCGGCACGGAGTTTGGTAGTTTGACTCGGCACGGAGTTTAAGAAAAAGAAGACTTCGGGGTAAAAGCTTTGTGGGACCATGATATTTGTGCGGTTATAAAAGCTTCTCATTAAGGGTAAAATAGGTAAAATGAAGAGTTTAAAGTTAAATTATTTCAAATTTAGAAATGTATCATTTATTTTGGAACAGACTAAAAAGGAAAGTACCTCATCTAATTTGAAACGGAGGGAGCAGTAGTTATCTTTATTCAGTTATTTTATATTCTGATTGTGCCAAATTCATAAACACAATAAGTTGAACAAGAAATACTTTTATGAAATCAAGTGATCCTACTTTGTCTAGACGAGATTCCTGATTAAGAAAATTGGCTGGCTTATCCATCTTCCATAACGAGCCTCTGAGATTAATAGTGATCAAGTTTCTTAAGAACTTTTGACTTATCCAATAAAGATTTGTCACGTATGATAAATATCCAGAGAAGTTATCATTTAGCCTGGCAGCCAGGGTCCACAGCAAATGGAATGACAATCCTCCATCTTTCAAGTGACAAGGTAACATTTCCAGTATATTAAAAGAATCTTCAGCACAAAGATTATGCAGGAAGCTAAAAGGGTGTTTACAACTAAAGGCTAATTATTACAATCCTTGCTCTTCTTATAAGGAATCTAAAACTTGTAAAATTGATTCCTCCATCTTTGTCGTTGTGAAAGGCGATCCAACCAGTTTACCTTTAGATAGAAAAATTATCTGACTTGACCTCAGAATTTCGCTTTAAGGTATTCAGTAAAAATTAAGAATCTGCAAATATAGTAAATAGAACAACACTAACATGAGCAATAGGCATATATTAATATTGCTAGAAGAGATGTTGACTTTTTTTGATACGGTAAAACCGTCCCCCCTCCCCCACCCAACTCCCAAAATCCCACCTCAACCAGGCGCCCAGTAGTGGCCCTTTCCACCACTTTGTTCCCATGGTGACTCGAAACTCCAACCATATGGTTGAAGGTGGAGGGTCCTCAAAATTAGACTACCCTACCTTAACAATAAATGCATTAAACAACGCCAACTTAACACATCTCCCAGGGATCTTCCTGCTTTAACTTTCTTTTTTCCTCCATTGTGGCACAATGGTGGATAAGTATGTGATAGTGGCTCTGTGTCCAGCTCTCCAAATGGAAAAAAGTTGGTACTATCAATTGCAGCTTTTTACCAGTAGGTTGAACTTTTGGACTTTTAATATACATTATTTCATCCAAAAGAACCAGTAAATTAAGAAAAATACAAATAAGAAAGTACCTGAGCCAAGGCTTGATACCCGGCAAAAAAGGATCTTTTCATTATCTTCTCACCAGAGACCTTGTCTTTTGTGAAGCCATGAACATCTAGAAATCTTTTATACAATTTTCGCTGTAGAGGAGAAAGCTTTACAGACATCACAAACACAGTTTTTGGCGGCAAATCCATCTTTACGACATTCATGTCCATTCTTTGAACAAATCCTTTTAATTGCTCATAGAGAATATGAGATCGCTGATTCATAATTTTAACATCATCAGCTGTAGAATTGGTGTGTTGACCATTTTCTATCGGATTCTGAAAGCTGCATCAGGGGGTAATAATATCAAAACACATAAAGAGGAAAGTGAAAAAGTGCAGTGAAAAGAAAAGATGCCTTGCCGGTTTCTAAATTCATGACTGCTGCCAAGAAATCCTTCTCTTACAAAATCAACCATCTGTCATGACATCAAAATAATGAGACTACATTTCCATATAAACGTATGTACTAAATATAACAGCTTCATTATTGCCTTACACAGTAGTACTCCATCAAATTGTTTTGAAGAGGAGATCCAGTTAATGCAATCCTTCTCTGGCACTTGACTTGTTTCAAGGCTTGAGTTACATCAGCTCTGGTATTCTTGATAATATGAGCCTCATCACAAACAAGTATATCAGGCCCATCCTGACAAATGGCAGATATTTGAACAATGAATTCAGAAAATAGGTCATGAGATGAGAAGAAATTTAGCATCAACTAGAAGTTCAACCAAAAAAGGAAAAGAAAGTTCCACCAAAGGAAGAAAAAAACAAAAAAGAATGGAATGGAGAGGACTATAAAACTGTAACACTAAGAGCAGGGAGGAGCATTCACAAATCCAAGTCAATAAACCTTAAGAATCAGCTACATTCATTTCAAGCAGCAAAAGAAGAGTCCAGTGCTCTGCTTTGAGTGCTTTCTACTTCCAGAGTACCGGTAGGAGTTTATTGTGCATTACTAACATTTCAAATTCAAGTGGGTTAATTGAGAATGAAATATCTTATGCTCGACTTCAACTAGAAGCATCCCTGCTCTAGTTTTACAGTTTTACCTTTCAAAAAAAAATGTTGATGCAGGGGAGTGAAGATGTAAAAATTCCTATCAAGGTGGAGATGCCAATGGTCATGGTGAATATTAACGAGCACTATAACGGCCACAGTAATAATGAATGACAGACAATTGAGACGGAAATCTATCAAGAGGGCTGAGGTATTGACTATCTTGCCCAAGGGGTGGAATGGAGATGGTGCCATGTCCTCAGGTCAGGTTGACATCCCGAAGCCTGCCTTAAATCCAACTCAAATGATTTGAACTTAAGATCAGATTTGCACGAGGGTAAAGAGGAAGAAAAGATCTCAACTAAAGAAGTTAAGCCAGGCCACTGGCAGAATAATAACATGGATACAGAATATTAAAACAGAGGTCCACAAAGAAAAAATTAGAAGAAATCATCAAGGTAAAGAGGACAGCCCACTAACAGTCCCGAGCAAAACTACCTACCAGTTTTTAGAGATCTATGCACATAATATATGCAGCTAGCAGATAATTTGAATAGACCGAACACTGACCCGTCAGCATCTCAATCTCACCACTCCAGAAAGCACAAATGCTTAGTTGTTTTACACCAGATTAGAGTGCTACAGAAGCCATCGGGATTTCAACCAAGCTAGAACATACAACTTGTGGCATGCACCCCAAAGGGAGTGGGAGTTAGAAGTACCTTTGGAATTGTGTAAAAAGAATGGTGTTCGTCATATACACCGCTGGAACCTTATATTTACCATGTAATAGAGCTGGCTTAAACATGCAAGACGAGAATAAAGATCGGAATCCCTAGATGGATGAAGAGAAATATGATGCAGCTAAGAGCATCGACTTTCAAGGTTCTGAAGGAGAAGACTTCTAAATATTCATGAGAATCCACTACAGGAGGGCACAACGGAACCAACAAGTGGGAGCAAGGTAACCAAATAGCAGAAGCAAAAAGACAAATGAATTGAAGAAATTGGAATTCAAATACAATGAAAGTTCAGAGAAAGGGTAGGGGTAACAAGAAATCAACAAACCCAGATGAAAGTCAAATTACTTGTGGGATGTGATGGCTCAATAATCCATATACGCGTAAAAACACAGAAACTCCTGGTCAACAAATGGCAGCCAAATCTTTTGTGGATTCAACAGATAAAACTGGAGAATTGGACACCATGGATGGTTCGACAAGCCTGGGGCCAAAGAACAGTGTCAAAAAGTAGCAGGAAGGAGAGAGGGGATTATAGTCTTATGGGATAGAAGACTATGAAGTGCATAGAACAAAAATGCAGCAGCTTCTCCGTCTCATTCATATTTGAAAGTGTGATAGAAGAATTCAGATAGGCATTCTCTGGATTATGTGGCCACAGGACAGATGTAAAAGAGAATATATGTGGCTAGAGCCAGCAGCAATCGAGGCCAACAGATCCCCTGGGTCATTATGGGTGATTTCAACACTGCAAGATACAGGGATGAAGAGACAAAGCACAATAGGAGAATTAGGGCAATGAGTCAGTTTTCGAGATTTATACAGGACTTTGACTCTAATTGACCTCCACTACATGGTGGAAGACATACCTGGTCAAGGGATGGTGGCAGAATTGGTTCAAGAGTTGATAGATTCCTACTATTGAACTTGTAAATAGGGCCATGTTGGGCTGGACTGGACCCAGCCAGTCTGTAATTGCCCAACCCATCCCCCCCTCTCCCTCCCTGCTGCTTCCACAAGCAAAACAGACGAAAGCCCCTAAAGCTTCCGATACTTTCAATGGCCTCAAAAAACCAGCAGCGGCAACATCAAATAGCCAAAAAAATCAATTCCAGCACCCACATCTCCGGTGGACTCCACCTCGCCGCAGACTCCGACATGCCACACCTCCACAAACTCATGTATCAAATGGATAATAAGGACTTAAATGCTGCTGAGACTTCCATCTCTACCAATCTTTTCAAATTTAAACCTTGCCCTCCTTTCTGCTCAGTGACATACTCACTCTTGAAGTCTCACCCAACATTTCTCCAACAACCAGTACTAAGAATACTATTTTCGACCCAATTATTAAAATCAATAATCTTGACTCATCTATGGTAGACTTAGAATTAGGACTGTTCAGATCTACCACTGAAAATAATGTCCTTATAGCTGGCTAAGCCATTTTTCCCCTAGCTATTCAGGTTACTCTGAGAAACCATGTTTCTTTCCTAAAACATATAACATTGGAGTCACGAGGTGGAGTCACACTAACAAACGGGGATGGTGCTAACTACACTAATGTAGTAGGTTAGCAACCCTATACATACACACATGTATATTGGAGTATTTGATATGAAAATTAAATAAGATGAAAGATTGAGTACTGAAAGTGCATGCTGATCTAGAAAACTGAAACTTCTGAACTTAATATCATAAGACATACAAAATAAATTAAACTTTTCAAAAACTCCTCACTGCCTACTACACAAAGGTTGAGAAAATCCCTTTATTGACCTACCTACAATAGACAGATGTAAAAGAAGACAAAGATGCCTCGGTGAAAAGAAACTACAAGAAAGAATAGACTAGAATGAACACTCTTGTTTCTAGACTTTTGGGACCATTTCTAGGAAGCTATCATTTGGAGAAATATATTACAGCATTACCTGTTCCTAATTATGTCTAATACAAAATAAATTACAACATTTTAATTTTCAAAATAATCAATACATGTTGAAGTGTGTGACCATCTCACCTAAAAGCATAAGCTGTTAGAGAGAGCACACTTTATTCATTTAATTCTCTCTTCAACACATCCCCTCACGTGCAGGCTTCATTCATCTTTTTATTGGTCAAGCACGTGGAAATTCATTTTTTATAATGGTAGCGATGAGACTCGAACCCAGGGCCTTTACCTGCTCTAATATCACGTGTGTGACCATCTCACCTAAAAGCTTAAGCTATTAGGAAACACTATATCCTCAATTATTACAATAAAATTATAAAACTTACGTCATTAATAATTTTTCATCAGAAGGTTCCTATATTCATTACAGAGCAATGATAACACAACTTCCGCACATGCATACAAGTTTGCTCTACCTGTAGAGCTTCTTGGTAGAAGCGAACGCACCCCCACGAAAATCCACACAGCATTTCCTATGGCCTAACAGTTGGGATTCAGAACAAAGCTTGGCATTAAAAGAGAGGCCAAGTTAGGCTAACAACCCCGCTTAAGTCACACACAGGCCTTGGCCGTTGTAGGAACAGCGAGATAAATTACAATAATATCCACACACAAATAAGACCCCCAAACATGATCCCTACATACTAGCTGAACAGAGCACCATGAAGATAAACCAAAAGGACATGAAAACGAAGTAACTGAAGAAGAATTTTTCCCTCTCATCTCCATCACAATTATCACTTCTAAAGGTGACAACCACTACCTGAAGGACTTGACAAATTTCTCTGGCCACGTGACGATCCTTTATATGCTTCCCAAATGACAAATTTCTGAAAGCAGTATAGCCAATTAAGAATACACCACCTTTTAATGTCCATTTTTTTAGTAACTCGGCCCTTCTCTCCCTGAAAAAAGAGGTAAAGTAAAGTTGACTAAGATGCCACATACGAAATGACTGACAGAGGTTTGATAAAAGAATGTTTACAGTACTCCAATAAAAATAATCCTAACAATTTAAGGATTGAAAAACAAGGCATGCAAAGAAAACACATAAAAGAATAATTGGGGCCTCTTTGGAAGAAACATGCTTACATATATCCCTAAAAAATCCTAAGAAGACATGATAAAAACAACAGCCTTACATTATAAAAAGAATTCTGTACCCAGAACTCCAGTACTATATATAACACTAGATGGCAATGGCATCACTGCCACGAAAACAAGACAAGGATCTTCAACTCAATCTGATGACTAATGGAAACAAGAAAAGCTAATGGCTCTCTGACCACATTTCTGTGTCCTAAAATATTGAAATGACAGAACATCATTTAGTAGACCAGATTGTAAAAACAGAGCTCTAGTTCGGATTCATGTCGGGTCGTTCGACTACGGAAGCCATTCACCTCGCTAGGAGATTGGTGGAGCAGTACAAGGAGAGAGTGTTCACTGACATGGAGAAAGCATACGACAAAGTCCCGAGAGAGGTTCTATAGAGATGTTTGGAGGCTAGCAGTGTGCATGTAGCCTACGTTAGGGTGATTAAGGACATGTATGATGGAGCTAAGACTTGGGTAAGAGCAGTGGGAGGAGACTCGGAATACTTCCTGATGGTGATGGAGTTGCACCCGGGATCAGCTCTTAGCCCGTTTTTATTTTCCTTGGCGATGGACGCTGACGCGCCAAATTAAAGGGGAGGTGTCGTGGTGTATGTTATTTGCAGATGACATAGTTCTGATTGACAAGGCGAGAGGTGATGTTAACAATAGGCTGGAAGTTTGGAGACAGACCCTAGAATCTAAAAGGTTTCAAGTTGAGCAGTACATGACGAAATACTTGGAGGAAGCAGATATGGATGTGAGGCTTGACACATAAGTCATCCCCAGAGGAAGTTTCAAGTACCTTGGGTCAGTAATCCAAGGAAATGGGGGAGATTGACGAGGATGTCACACATCGTATCGGAGCGCGATGGATGAAATGGAGGCTCGCATCTAGTGTCTTGTGTGATAAGAATGTGCTACTAAAACTTAAAGGTAAGTTTTACAAGGTGGTGGTTAGACCGACTATGTTGTACGGGGCAAAATGTTGGCCAATCAAGAACTCTCATGTCCATAAGATGAAAGTAGCTGAAATGAGTATGTTGAGATGGATGAGCCGGGAATACCAGGTTAGATAAGATTAAAAATGAAGATATTCTGGAAAGGTTGGAGTGGCCCCCGTGGAAAACAAGATGCGAGAAGCGAGGCTATGATGGCTCGGACATGTGAAGAGGAGAAACATAAATACTCCAGTTATAAGGTGAGAGAAGTTGGCTTTGGTGGGTATGCGGAAAGGTAGAGGTAGGCCAAAGAAGTATTGGGGTGAGGTGATTAGGCAGGACATGGCGCAGCTTCAGCGTACCGAGGACATGACCCTTGATATGAGAGTGTGGAGGTCGAGAATTAGGGTAGAAGGTTAGTAGGTAGTCGAGCGTTTTTCCTTTTCCTTCCCATTACCCGTAGTATTAGTGTTAGTATGGTATCTTCCTTATTCTAAGATTACTATAACTACCATGTTGTTTCATTGTTATATTTCGCTTTGGTTTTCCTAATATTTTGATGTTGTTACTGCTTGCTACCACTGCTTTTTTTTCATCTTTTTCAGAGAGTATCGGAAACAGCATCTTTTCCCTCCCAGACCCAGAGTATGGGTAAGGTCTGCGTATACATTACCTTCCCCATACCCCACTTGTGGGAACTCACTAGGTTTGTTGTTATTGTATTGTAAAAATTTACCCCTAAAAAAGCACTATTTTTGGAGTATGTTAATGGAATCCAATAAATCATTCGAGTCAATATGATGATCCATGGAACAAGAAAAGCCGATGGCTCTCTGCATCACATTTTGGAAGCAAAATTTGAAGAAGTGTGATAGAGAATCACTGATAACCAGATTGCAGAGAAGGGACTCCACTAAATAGCATATTGTTGGCTTGCATTACTGAAACCCACTTGACTGTTATATTTCTAGTTTCACATATTCCAGAGAGGTATCATCCAAATGGGATGCATCACTTCCCCCTTCCCACTGTCGTGGGCCCGACAGTACAAAGGTTAATGATTGTCTCAATTTTTGCAAAAGACAAAACATGAAAGATGGGAAGTTGTAACGAGAAGAAAACTTAGATTGTAATAAAAAAAATAGAAGAAAACAGCTTAAGCTTTTTTCAACTTAATCTTTTAGATGAGATGGTCACACACTTCAACGAGTGTATTAAAAAGGTTCCCTAATATATAGAGCCACACTGTTTGGAATAAACCGAAAGATAAGCAGGTCACATAAAAATAGGATAACGAGGACAACAACAATATTAGCAACGCTTCAGTTACAAACAAGTTAGGGTCGGCTATATCAATCCCCATGACCATGTTTCTCCTTTTAAATCATCGCATGCAAATATTATAAGATATAAAAATAAAAATGAAGAATACTAGAAGTTCGCCAAATTCTCTAGTGGCCTAAGAATCTTTAATAAGGTCAAAAGACTCANTATATATATATATATATATTTTCTTTATTATTGTGCCCTATCTTTATTGATTCCAAGAGAATGCAAGTCTCTCGAGATGTTACACCCCATGTTTTCGTATGTAAAAGTACGTCGTAAGTCAGTTGATGTATGCTCGGATACTAGATCATCTTTGAAAGTACATAAAGTAAGTTAATCATGTTATCTTGGAGGTTACAAATATTTAAGATATGAACTGCAAGTACCAGGAGGGTTGGAAGGTTTAGAAGCTAAACAAATCGAAGAAAATAAGTTTCGTCGAAACGGCAAGTTGAGAATGTTATAACTCGTACTTTTGGGGTGACACTAAGGCGATTAACATGCTATGGAGGTGATATTATGAGGTTGATATATAAAGTTGTAGCCTTCGTCTTTAAGGTTCATACCCAAATCAGACCTAAAAAGTCTCTCTAGACATCCCAAATACATCCTTAGGGTTTAGAAGCAATTCCATCATCCGCAACTCAAAATCAAGACGCGAACACATCAACGTGATCCTTACGACATAGGTAAGACATTGCCGTCCTCTTTTCTCCTTATAACTCATGTTTTGGAAAGAGCTTCGTGGCTAAGGAAGTTTGGCACCTTTGTATTTTAGTTATACAAGCATAAGTAAGGGTGTGGATCAAAGGGAACAAGGTTTGGAAGCAAGAACACAAGAGGTATGTAGGATTTTCATTTCGTTTTCGGCATGATTTGGTTTAGCTATGTTTTAGCCTTTCTTCTTGATTGTTCAAGGGAAATATCAGCATGTATTGTATCCTTGTATATTATTCAATTTCATATGTGAATAATGGAAGAAAATAGTTTAGATTGGAATTTCAAAACACAACAAAAACAAAAAGGAAAATCGCCAATTTGGCTTATGCCATTCGGACTTTCGTTTGTTCCGTTCCTTTGATGTTTCTATGTATACCTAACCCCCATAACACCAGACAGGTACCAGTTCCGATCAGATAGGTGTTCAGTTTCAGCACAGTTTTAACTTGAACTTCGGTTCAGTTCCAGATCAGTTGCTAGTTCAGACTCTTGTTTAGCTTTCAGCTTATATTCAGATATCCATCTTACAGTCATACCTTAGTATGCTTTACATATGCTTTCCAGCCTATATACTTTGTACACATCGTACTCACATCCCTTTCGGGGCGCTGCGTTTCATGTCGCGCAGGTACAGATAGATCAGCGTTTGAGCCACATCAGTAGGCCATCCACCAGCTGTTGGAGTCACTCCACTTACTCCCGAAGTTACTTATCTTTTGGTATGTGTACAGTCAGCTAGTTTGGGTATGACGGGGCCCTGTTCCGTCCAGTACTTTTTCAGTTCAGCACTCCTAGAGGCCTGTAGATATGCACATGTGCAGTTAGTATGCTTTTATATGACAGCTTGTGTTAGCCTTGTCAGCTTTCCAGAGTGTACATTTCTTATCAGCTATACTTATGTTTGTTCAGTTTATCCGATGATTGTAGATTATCAGCAAGTTTAGTGATGATCGGCACTTAGTGTCGGTTATCCGTCGCGGCCCTAGGCTGGGTCGTGACAAACATAGTCAGCTAGTTTGGTAATGACGGGGCCCTGTTCCGTCCAGTATTTTTTCAGCTCAGCACTCCTAGAAGTCCGCAGATATGCACTTGTGCAGTTAGTATGTTTTTATATGTCAGCTTGTGTTAGCTTTGTCAGCTTTCCAGATTGTACAATTCTTATCAGGTATGCTTATGTTTGTTCAGTTTATCCGTCTATATTCATGATTAGTAGATGATCAGCAAGTTTAGTGATGATCGGCACTTAGTGTCGGTTATACGTCACGGCCCGAGGTTGGGTTGTGACACGAGAACACTTCCTTCCATGCAATTTTAGATCTACTTTGTCTCTTTAAAATATATTCACTAACCAACATTCCGCACCTACGGACCGGTGCACCTATAGGTCAATTCAGGGCATGACCAAACCATCTTAAGCAACTTTCTATGATGTTATCCTCAATGTGTACCACTTGCACCTCCTAGGACAACGGAAACAAAAAACTGTTTAGTCTTACTTATAACCTTTTGTTTTCCTTTTTTTATAAAGTAATAATTATAGTAATGATGATGAAACCTCTTGTATACAAGTAGTATACTAAAAAGCAAAGAATCTTAAAAACAAGATATGATTCAATACAAACAACACCCAATTTGCAATACAAAATTGAACCTCATGGTTATATCAAAAAGAAACTAAGAATGAGAGGCTACTCTATATATATAGCCGTACTGTATTTCCTCAACAACTCTCATATTTTTCTCCTCTAACTGGATGCACATGAAATGCTAGTGGAGCAACATTCCACGCCCATCATCTTCTATTCCTTCTTCTAAAGGCCCAACTTAATAGTACCTCATTCACCCTACCTCACATCGCCTTTTATAATGCGAACCAAGTCAAAATCTCTCACCACCAAACTAGCTGCCACCTGACAATATAGGAGGAGGTCGTGCACATCCTCACCCAAATATTTGCAGTACCACTTAACATACATAATCCTCATCTTCATCAAACTCTCAGCTGCCAAGATCGATTTCATCACTGCTAGCCAAGTAAAAAATATGTTTTTCGGTAACCTGATCCAAACCAATTAGAGCAGAAAACCCGACTTCTCTGTAACCAAGATCTTATGATAATATGTCTTACTAAGAACGCTTCACTTCTCTCCACTCTCCACATTCATGAGTCTTAACTAGCAGGCTTTGTACTTTGCTTGTTAGGCATTTCAACTCGACCTTAGAATTCAGCTACTTTTTGGCCGTGCAGATTCCTCCAGGTTGTGCTTGAGAGGCTATGACTCGATAGGACCTGCCAATCGAATGAATCGTAACACTCGTAATGATCGACTTTACGAAGATTCCATTGGATTCCAGAAGCTCATAGCATTGGTCCGGCACAATTCCAAAACTTAAGAAGCTGGGGGTGTGCCCGCCGGCCCATAGCATGCCTCCGATTACTGACAGTGAATTCGTTTTCAATTATCCTAAGCAGATCATTGAGTCCCAATGAGCTCTTACTCGTTCTCTATGTAATGTCACCACCTCCTAGCTCAAACACTATAATTAGAGCAGACCAATTGATGGAATGTGAGTCTTACCTTATCAAAAAAAAAAATGGAATGTGAGTCTGTCTCTTCCACACACCAATTGTGATTCCAAAACTTGACCTAGTGTCCATCCCTTACCATGATGTTCTACATAAGTCTTTCCATCTTTTCATAATATTCCTCCAAAGACCCTATCCAAATAGAAGGGTGATATGTTTAATCCTCCGTCCCCCTTCAACAATTCCATTTTTTTTGCTTTCATGTTACTAGATTGAGCATCCTCAACCTCAAATCTCCATAAAAATTTCCTACTAGGTCTTGCTGAAAACTCGAAAATATTTATCCGTAGACCACTCCATTTCTTTGGAGACACAACATTCTCCAACTGACCACATGGAACTTCCTAAACCCTATCTGCTGAGTGCAGAAGTTCCTTTGGAGCCTCTCCGATTTACGTGAGGTAATGGTGAGATAGTGAAGCAATGACATGACTACATTGGAACGCTTTATAGAGTACTCTTAAGTAATACATTTTTCCAACCTTTAGGCAGGTACCTCCTCGACCACTCTATTAGCCTCCTCTTAAACTCTTTTAATCATCGAGTTCCATGTTTGGTCTTTGTTGGAACTCTGGAACCATATAAGAAACGGTCTTACATAATCCAATTGATTAATATTTGCATCACAAAAACAAAACTAATGTGTTGTTGGCAGATAAGAGGTGTGAAAGCTCTCAATGTACTTTGTCCCCAAATCACTCCAAAGAATCCCGTAGTTGAAGCCTCCCTACCATATAAACCCTCTTTTACCCTCTGATCTCCACTCTACGTCAACCAATTGAAGGTTCGCCTCCAAATCAAAAGTGTTAGCACAACTACGAGCTATTAAAGGTGATTGAGCAGTCATGTCCCCTTTCTCATTACAATCGCATGTCTCTTGTTACCTTGCTAGTCCCTTCCCAATTGGCAACTGCAAAAAAAAGGATTGGTTCCCTAGCCTCCAACTTAAACCAAAAGGAACTCAAGTGTTTATAGCCCAACCATAAGGCACGTGATTCCTCTTCCCTTTGCTCAACCTATTCCTCCGTATCAGATTCCTTATCCAAAGGGCACTTTTAGCCTATTTGTGACTTTTTCTCTCCTAATAAAAGATGCCGCCAACTTCATCCCAGTCAAAATCGTTATAGGTCATTCATATTAACGATTCTCAAAAAAGTAACTGTTACTAGCAAATTCACCATAATTTCTTACGCTAAGAAATCCCCCCCACCCCTTCTCTCACGCACTGCCTCCCTCCCTCATAATCCCTTCTCCTGCTCCCTCTTTCTTCATCAGCTTCTCTCCTCCCACATGAAGGGCTTGAACGTAGAGCTCCGGGAACATCCAAACTATGTACCTGATTTCACCATCATCAACTACCATTGACACCGGAATCCTACCACCTTTGCTCACCAAGATCTTGACATTCAACATTTTATATATGCTACATATAACATCTCCAGAAAACCCGCACATATCTCCCGGAAACGCCACATGTGCTGATAATCCAACCAAGTGTACTGGAACTACGTCGCAAACAAACCTGGGGTAGATGCAGCCTAGCAGCTCACTCCATCTTCCAAACATCAAAAAATAGCCTATATACTACTTGACTACCTCTAGATAGCTCCACGAAGAAGTGGTCAAACAAGAGAGCAACAAACAGAACCTAATGAGACAAATTGACTTCGTTAATACATACAGCATCCATAAGCTCCTTGACAGAAACCTAAAAGAACATACAGTAATCTGCTGCTAAGTTTAATTCAAAGATATTATTTCTGAGGTTTTAACATGCTTGAACAATCATATAACTTGAATTATGGACGAAAAAACACCAGTACAAGCCTCATGATGATTTAAAAGAAGAGGAACCTTGGAACATCTTCAAGCATAAAGACACGGAGAGGCTTCAATTCTGATGGTCTCCATTTTATAAATTCCTGCCGCCAGTTATGCAGAACACTTACAGGCGTGACTATGAGAGCAGTTCTCAATCCTAAATCCACACTTCTCATAGCGGCATACAAGAAAGAAATCACCTGTAGAAACAATATACAAGAAAGATTAACCACCAAAGGCTAACAGAATAATGAACTCTTCCAGTTTCTTAAACATCAGTTGAACGTAAAAAATCTGATGAGAATACTCCCCCTCATTTCCATATTTCAGGTGAAAGTTAATCTGATACATTTAAGTTCTAGATGGCTAGATAATGTTTAACTGACTCTGTCAGGTTAAAACTTGCCAGCAAAAAACAAGTAAAATGAATGCAACACAAGTAAAATTCTAGATGGCTAGATAATGTTTAACTGACTCTGTTAGTTTAGAACTTGCCAGCAAAAAACAAGTAAAATGAATGCAACACAAGTTGATTGAAGCAATAAACAACGTTTTCTAATGTCACTCCCAATTTTTTCCAAGTGAGACTATGTGGCACCAGGCAGTGTTAAGAAACATATGATCATACAGTACTTTGAAGATGAGAAACTTCTAAAAGTTCTGTACCCTTAGGACACAAAAATGAGGTGTTAGTCAGAATCAGCACAAGAAATGGAGCTAGGTCACAGAAATGTAATAATGTGATTCAGCCATGTAATACCTGAAATGTTTTGCCTAGACCCATAGTATGAGCTAGGATGCAACCAAGGCCTTTATCTCCAGACTTGACTTTCCTGATAGATTGAATAATATTTTCCCACATAAAACGAATCCCAGCAACCTACAATGATAAAAGTTAGGTGCCAATACTAAATAAGAGATTTTCTATGGTACAAATAACAATAGATACACAATCAAGAGCCATATAATGAGTTCGGATGATACCAGGTATAATACGTTTTCACCATCTACACTATCTTAGTTTTCTTCATTTTCTTTGCCCGTGGCAAACTTCAAAGGATCAAACTCGCATAGACCTAGACTGAATCAAACACAAAATCCATACTAGTACTAGGATCTGACAAAGAACCCATACTAGCATTAAAACGTGTTATCTACGCTCGTCATCAAAGTGAAGGATCTGGTTAATGTAGCTTTTCTTTTTATAGTCTGAGAAATTTCCACGGACTGGTGGCGCGAGGTTCTAACTCGGTAGGTAATGGGCCCGTCCCTCTACCCTTCTTCCCTTAAACACAAGGATTATGTCTGCAATAAGGTTCGAATTCGTGACGTCCTAACCCACACATCACAAGCTACGCTCTTAGCCTCTTAGCGCTAGACCAAAGCCCTAGAACTTGGTTAATGTAGCTTTTAGCTGGTAAACAACACAAGACCGAAAAAA